TGACCCCTAGATCCCTTTCCGCCATGCTCTTTCCTAGACAGTCGCTTCCCATCTTGTATGTATGGAACTGGTTGTTCCTTCCTAAGTGGAGCACTTTGCATTTCTCTTTATTAAACCTCATCCTGTTTACCTCTGACCATTTCTCTAACTTGCTAAGGTCATTTTGAATTATGTCCCTCTCCTCCAAAGAAGTTGCAACCCCACCCAGTTTGGTATCATCTGCAAACTTAATAAGCGTACTCTCTATCCCAATATCTACATCATTGATGAAGATATTGAACAGTATGGGTCCCAAAACAGACCCTTGAGGAACTCCACTTGTTATCCCTTTCCAGCAGGATTTAGCACCGTTAACAACAACTCTCTGACTACGGTTATCCAGCCAATTATGCACCCACCTTATCGTGGGCCTATCTAAGTTATATTTGCCTAGTTTATCAATAAGAATATCATGCGAGACCGTATCAAATGCCTTACTAAAGTCTAGGTATGACATCCACCGCTTCTCCCTTATCCACAAGGCTCATTATCTTATCAAAGAATCATACGGTTAGGATTGTGTACATTTAACCCTATGGACTTCTCCTTAAAGAGAAGAATAATTTTAAAGTACAGATGCTGAGGAGCTTGATATTTAAAAAGTATCAGTATTTCCTATAAGCAAAAATAATAGGACAGGATTAAATCCATTGGTGCCATGAGAAATTTTATAAGCAGCCTTTAGAGCATTGAAATGCATCTATTACTTTTCAGAATCAGAAATGTAGGGTAAAAAGAGACCTAACAAGGCCATGTCATCCAGCCCTCTGTGTCAAGGGAGAGCTAAGTATACCTAAAACAGTGGTTCTCAAACTTTTTGGTTTCTGGAGCCCTTTACATGCATAAAAATTTATGCGGAGCCCCAGCGGTCCACTGATTGTATGTGTTGTACCTATCGATCTTTCCAGTTTGTCAACTTCGCGGAGTTCCTGGAGATGTCTCGCAGAGCTGCTGGGGCTCTGCGGAACACAGTTTGAGAAACATTGCCCTAAAACATTCTTTCAGAGGGGTTTTCAGAGGGGTAGCCATATTAGACTGTAACTGTGCTGTTTGGGCTCCCCCGGGGTGGGAGGGGAAGGGAGGGCGGTGATGTACACGGCTCTGGCTCCAGCTGTGTACGTCACCGCTCCGCCCCCCTCCCTCATGGCAGCACTCAGCCAAGCACCACGGCGGGGGGGAGGGGGAGGGGAGGGGGGGGGGGGGGGGGAGAGGAAGGAAAGAAATTGTCAATTAAAGTTTCCATGCTAAATGAAGCGGATAATAATACTTAGTACACTCTCTAAGTACTCTTTGTTGGGGTTTTTTATGTCATTAGGATGTGGAATATAGCGGGCTGTCCAGCCAAGGGTCTTTGTTTAGACTTCTGTTGTAGGAATCAAACTTGTAAATGAAATTAAGTTCTGTAGCTTCCCTGTTGAGCTAGCTTTTGAAATTGGTTTGAAATAATATAGTGACTTGGAGATCCATTAATGAGTGCTCAGGCAAGTTAAAATGTTCCCCAATAGGTTTCTGTGCGTTTCCTTTTCAGATATCTTGATAAGTGTATGTTTAACCTGTTCTTTAAAAACTTTAAGAAGGATTCCACAACCTCCTTAGGTAACCTGGTCCAGTGTCATCTTATCCTTTGTAGTTTGAAAGTTTTTCCTATGATCTAATTTAAATCTTCCCCATTACAAACTAAACTGATTACTTCATGTCCACAGGGGGAAAATCAAGGGCAAGAATTAACTCTTGTCTTCTTTACAATGTGTCTGTGTCTAGACTGGCAAGTTTTTCCACAAAATCATCTGCTTTTGCAGAAAAACTTGCCAGCTGTCTACACTGGCCGCTTGAATTTCCGCAAAAGCACTGACGATCTCATGTAAGATCGTCAGTGCTTTTCCGGAAATACTATGCTGCTCCCATTCGGGCAAAAGTCTTTTTCCAAAAGACTTTTGCGCAAAAGGGCCAGTGTAGACAGCACAGTACAGTTTTCCGCAAAAAAGCCCTGATCTCAAAAATGGCGATCGGGGCTTTTTTGCAGAAAACTGCGTCTAGATTGGCCACGGACGCTTTTCCGCAAAAAGTGCTTTTGCGGAAAAGCATTCTGCCAATCTAGACGTGCTTTTCCGAAAATACTTTTAACGGAAAACTTTTCCGTTAAAAGCATTTTCGGAAAATCATGCCAGTGTAGACGTAGCCCAAATGTACATCCCTTTTCAATCTTCTTTTCTTTCAAATTTTCCTTACAGGTCAAGTTTTCTTATAAATTTATTGCTGTCCTCTGGACTCTGTCCAGTTTGTCCGCAGCTTAGTTATAGCATGGTGCCCAAATCTGGATACTTCAGCTAAGGTCTTTTTAGAACAGACTAGTAGAGTGGATCAGTTACTTTGCCCAGCTTACATGCAGCACTCCTGTTAATACAACCCAGAGTGCCTTTTTTACAACAGCATCACACTGTTGACTCTTGTTCAATTTGTCATCCATTAAAAACATCTTTTCTGCAATACTGCTGTCTTAACTAATCATACTCCATATTTTATTTGTGCATTTGTATTTTCCTTTCTAAGTGCAATTTTACACTTGTCACTATTGAATTTGGTATTATTGATTTCAGATTAGTGTTCTAATTTATCAAGATCATTTTGAATTCAAATCCTTTCTCCTGTTATAAGAGAATATTGTTGAAAATGGGTAACTTCAACACACATGAACCAATTTTGTTTCAGCACATAAACAGAACAATGCAGGTAAGGGAGGCTCAATTCCATACCCTTTCTGTAGATAAATCTAGAGAAATCAATGCACGTTTGAAATTTTGCCAAAGAGCAGAAATGTAATAGCAGAAAGCTCTGACTGCCTACCAGTTAAATTTTCTAAACAAGATACATATTCCTCTATGGAAATGCTCTGCAATCTGCTAACCAAACAGCTGGGCTGGGAAATGGGCCAAAAATTAGAAAACACACAGGACAGAAGTCTTAATTGGGTCTCTGGTGACAGACAGATACAGATTATTTTTTGCTCGAGCTAGCACGCTAAAAATAGCAATGTGGACACTGTGGGGTGGGCAGTGCCTTGGGCTAGCCACTGGTGCTCGGATCCAGGGTGTTTGGGTAGGTTTAGACTGGGGTGACTAGTCTTTGCTGCTTCCCATGCAACATCCACAGTGCTGTTTTTAGCATGCTAATTCAAGCTGATTCAGTGCCAGTCAGTCTAATTGTACTAGCAGGCACGCTTCCAGCTGCAGTGTAGATATACACTTTGAAGTCAATAGGTCTACTTGTTGAGTCCGTATTCACTGGTTTGAGTGGTTACACAGAGCCTTTCATGTCTCATCATCAGTTTCTCAACAGTTTTCAGTAATGTTTATGAATATTTAAAAATAAAATTAAAAACAAACATAAAAGTTTAGAAACGAATGGTCTGTCAATAAAAAACACTAACCTTTTATTCCTCCAAACTCTCTCTCTCCTCTACTCAGTCTCTTTCATTTGTCTTTTCTTTCTGTCTTTCTATTTTTCAGATGAGTTGGGAGGTCATAAACTCATACTGTAATAAATGTCCTGATCCACCAAAACACTTAAGCTCACATGCTGGTGCTTTGCAGAAACAGTCCTAATTTCTCTAAATTAAAAAAAAAAAAAAAAATCTTAGCATTTTAAAGCTTCTGTGGAAATTTATGGCCAGCCTGATATTTTTGGTGTAATAAAAATGAGGGGAGACCATCAAAGATGGAAGTGAATACAGTGTTCCTCCAGCAATAGCTGTGAAATAAAGCCCACTTTTACATTTGTAGGGTTAGATAATGATTTACATACACACTTTGGCTGTGTCTACGGGGGTTTAAAATACCCCCTGCGGCATTTGCATTTACATGGCTGCCACTTTTTTCCGGCTTGGGGATAAGCCAGAGAAAAGCGCTAGTCTAGACGTGATTCTCCGGAAAAAAGCCCTTTCAAGTAGGAATAAGAGATCCTCCGGAAAAGGGCTTATTTTCCGGAGAATCACGTCTAGACTGGCGCTTTTCTCCAGCTTATCCCCAAGCTGGAAAAAAGCGGCAGCCATGTAAATGCAAATGCCGCGGGGGATATTTAAATCCCCCGCGGAATTTGCAATTCCGAAGTCTACATTAGCATCCCTTTTCCGGAAAGGGGTGCCTATGTAGACACAGCCAACCTCTTACAGAGAATGGAGTGTACTCAGGGTCTCTGGACTTCTTATAATACTTCTCCTGTAGTTGCTTATGATATTGGCATTGCATACATATGTGGACCACACTCTTACTTAGGCAAACCTTGTGTTGAATTAAATGGGAACTTTACCCAAATAGAGACTGCAGGGGTGAGACGAGATTGTGCCATGATACAGCTCCTCCCCAGGTTGCCTACCAAGCTACAGAGTGGGAGTGTGGTCTCAGGAAACCTGGATTTTATTCTCAGCTCTTGTATAGGCCCCTTGGAAAAGTCACTCCACTTTCCTATGCCTCAGTTTCTTCTCCCACTCTTTGTCCATTTTGTCTGTTTGGACACTAAAGTTTGAAGCAAGGCCTGTTGCTTATTATGGGTACCTTCTGGGTTTAGCACAATGGAACCCTGATTTTGTTTGAGACCTAAACAGAATAATAATAATTATTATTATTATTAATACAGAATGAACAAAAATTTATTTCAAGAGTTTCTCTTGAGAAAAGGTTTGGCTCCCAACAGTTTACAGCTTAATCCGGCTAGATGCTGACTTTAGTAAGAGTGTCAGATGCTTAGCAACTTCATAAGATTGGACCTGTAAGGTCGGAGCCAAAGCCTTCTGAAATCAACAAAGACTGTTATTTTCTTCAGTAGGTTTTGGATCAGCCGCTAATGGATACATGTTATATTCATGTCCTCTTTTCTCAAGTAATGTTGCCCTCTTGTTTTCATTATCATTTAAATTGATTTTCCTTAATTTCATTTGTCTTTGTGCATGTGTATTTCATTCACAGATTGTACTCAGATTATCTATACTTTGCAAGTGTGAATAAATCTGCAGAAGACTTTCATGAAAAAGTGGCAGAATCCCTGCAGCTGTTTGAAAATTGCATGTTGGATTACTCACTGAGAGCCTGTGTCTACAACAACACCCTTAACAATGCCATGCCTGTATGTATTTCCAAAAATGTTTTATTCCTTGCTTAAACAACAGTACATTTTGTCTGGATTCTTAAAATACCAGGATCCTTAATAAAATAGTAATAATAGTTATAATTATACTCAAGATGTGGTTTAATTTGTCACTATAAAAAACCCTTTCTTTTTTTAAAATTGGTGACAAAAAATAGATTCATGCATGTAAAAACTGATGTGCTTCCTCAGCTGTCTTTTCAGACCATACCCTGATGAATGCCGACAGTCATAATGCATTCTTTCTAGTGTGCAGGAGCATGAAGAGCACATTTAGCAAAGATTACAGTTTAATCTTTACTTGCAAACCTACCCAAAAAATAGCTCTGGCAAAGATAAGGCCATTTTCAAACTTCCCGTAAGAATACATCATTTATGCTGGATTTTTTTTCCTCAAGAAAAGGCTATTGATAGCTAGATTAAATGCTCTCCCTCTCTCCTTTAAGCTGTGCACAGCAGAAATTGAGAAATCTATTACATAAGATGTTGGCAAAGAACACAGCTAACTCTCAGTGTTGATTGTTCCAAAATTCAAATTTTACTGTTGCTTTTTTTATATTTCATTTGAGGATGAGGAAAGGGCAATACATAACAGTATTTCATCTTTACTGTGGGATGTACTTGTAAAGTAACAGATCAGTGTGATCCAGACCTTTGCATTCCATTTTCTTGATTGGAGTGGAGGGATACTTTTCTTCTCTTTCTCCAGATTGCATCATGCATCATAGGCTCTAGCCAAAGCCCATTGAAGTCAAAGGAAAGCCTTTCCCATACTGGGAATGGGAATCAAGCTCCATATACCGTAGTGCTGCTATTCTGATCACACTGAAATAGAATATTAAAGAGAGAGGGAAGCTTTTTATTTCATTTAAAGTTATTTTGTAATGTGGTATTATGCTCCCATGTCTCTGGGGGCTACAGTTTAATGCTCCACAAGATGAAAGTCCCCTCTGCCACTTGCTTTGGCTATGACACACACAGAGACCATTCCCAAGGTCTGGTGGCGGCCTTGCCAGCTGATCATCCGTACAGGGCTGGTTTCTGCTGGAATGCTCCTGCAGGGAGCTCAGTTTTCCTAACCTGTACACCCTCTTATTATAATGTGATTCTGACTGTACCTTACTAGCATTTACACGCATAGTGCACCTTGCAGTTATGGCATAAGTTAGAAAAATGTGACTACCAGGTACCTTGTAAGCAAACAGTTCATTTTTTGTAATGTCACCCATTGGTACATTTTTCCCTGTAATCTTGTGTAGCATAGTGTCATTCTTTGGTCATCTATTTATGTCAATCACATCTTAAGCCTGTAGCCTAGTAAGGTTAAGCTGACATTTTACAGGTTTCAGCCTGTAGGCCTTGGCTGTGTCTACACTGGCAAGTTATTCCGGAAAATCAGCGCTTTTCCGGAAAAACTTGCCAGCTGTCTACACTGGCCGCTTGAATTTCCGGAAAAGCACTGACGATCTAATGTAAAATCATCAGTGCTTTTCTGGAAAAACTAAGCTGCTCCCGTTCGGGCAAAAGTCTTTTTCCGGAAAACTGTTCCGGAAAAGGGCCGGTGTAGACAGCACAGTACTGTTTTCCGCAAAAAAGCCCAGATTGCGAAAATGACGATAGGGGCTTTTTTGCGGAAAAGCATGTCTAGATTGGCCACGGACGCTTTTCCGGGAAAAGTGCTTTTCTGGAAAAGCGTCCTGCCAATCTAGACGTGCTTTTCCGGAAATACTTTTAACGGAAAACCTTTTCCGTTAAAAGCATTTCCAGAAAATCATGCCAGTGTAGACGTAGCCCTTGTGTTTCAGCCCTACTTAACTTAGATATCTAATTACCACTTCTAACCACTGATCAGTCTTAATTCTACAGCTTAACTCTATTGAGCAGACAATGAATCTTTGTGATATAAAATATTAGTTAATCATAACATCACACAGTATATGAACAAAACTCTAAAATCAATGGCTGCAACAATCTCTTCCCCTCTGAGGCCAATTCTGAGTGTCTCCAGTCATGCCCACTCTGGAGTTGCACCACTATAATGCAATGCTTGTCAGTTCTCTCCCTAGAACAGATGCCATCGCATTGTGGCAAAACTACATTTGATGGAAAAATGGGCTTCCATTGCTCACAACTTCTTATTCCCCCAGGTACCCAGAAGTCAATATTTGTCCCACAGTTTATTCCTTGTCTTAGCACCTTGAAGAAAGTACTTCTGAAAATTAACTCCTTGTTCTTTCTTCTGAGATCATTTAGCTGTCCAGACAGCTACCAGTGGGCATCCTTAAAAAAGCATGGAACACTAGCCAGACTCATGAATGGACTTTTCAGCTTCCTCGCAAGCATATCTGACACAGTCTATATATGTGTATTTTGTTATATATTGAAAGAGTAGAATTTTTTTCTATGACACTGCATGTTGTGTGACTACAGCAGTATTCCTAAAAGAAAAGCAAGTACTATAGTGACTGCGTCTGCTGATAGGTAATCCTCTGTACAGAGAAAGGGCATACATCAGTTTATCTTCAGTTACCATCAATAGAAAATATAGAAAGCAAGGAAAGGGAAGGAGAGCCAGAGGTGTTAAACTCAAATGGGAGAGGCTGCATTTGCAGAGGATTCTTGGGGAAATGCTCAGTTGTACTGCATAATTTATAGGAAAAAAAGCAAGTGACTTTCCTGAAAAGGGGAATTTGTTTTGGAACAATAGGGGGAAAACACAGGCTTGTGTATCATGTCGTTTTTTCAGAGGTCCCAAGAGAAGTGAAGACGACTATCCTGAGCAAAACGGGGACTTTACATCTGAAGTTCTTCTTTCTGGATGAAGTGAACTCTGTTTGAGTTCAATGAGTAGTCCTGTGGCACCTGAGAGAGAGACATACACAGACTTGAGTTTTTTGTGTAGAAAAAAATGCTATAAAATCCAGCATCCCAGCCTACATTATACAACCGATACTGGGCTTTCACTTGCCCAGTACCGTTCTGTTGGGAGATAGAGGAATAAAGGTGAGGAATACATGGAGATGATTTGCTGTATGATTGTACAGTGTCTAGCTTAATTTAGCCCTTATCCTGCAATAGTGCAATATGTGTGAGGCTAATAATTAAAATAAATTATTTAGAGCTCATAGCATTCACATATAATGTCTTGTGTGGAGGGAAGCTTGCCCTACATGTTTCCATTCTATACAATACATACATAAGGGATTTTGTTATATAGGTTACCCAAGCAACCCAAGACTGATGTCAGGTTGCAGCTTTTAAGATAACCATAATTAATTTTTGGGAAAGGAACGGTCTTCTACTGAATGTTTGTTCGTTACCTGACATAGTGGATCATAATGATAATGAATGTGCCTCTGGGCACTACTGCGGTATAAATAATAACAAGCAGTTAATAAACTGTGGGCACTGTTTACTCAGAAAATATTCCACATAAAATCTGAGCCAAAAATAAAGACTAAGTTTGTAGCGAGACCTTTTGAATCACGATTTCTAAATCTCTCTGCCCAAAGACTGTTTTGCATATGCAAAATACAGATTGGACTTCCCTGGTCCAGCATCCTGGGGATCTGAACCATCCCAAATGAAGGCTTGCTGGATTAGGGGAGTTCCTCTGCCGCTGACCTTCCAGGACACCGCCCCTCCCTCCGGGTGGCTTCGCTCCAGCCCTGCTGCTAAAGGGCTTTGGCTTGGCTCTGGCCCGCTGCTGCCAGCCAGCTGGGGCTCTCTGGAGACGGAGCTCCCCAGCTGCCACGGCTCTGCTTCTGTCCCACCTAGCTGGGGCTTTCCATGAACGGGGCTCTGTAGCTGCCTTGCTTTTTTCCCACCTGGCCAGGGCTTCCCGTGGTTGGGGCTCCACAGCTGCCCCTCTGTGCCGCTCCAGGTTGATGCTCTGCGTCTGTGCCACACTGAGTTGGGGTGCCACGGCTACACCACTGTGCTGCATGGGGTTGGGGCTCTCCAGCTGCACCGCTGTGCTGAGACCAGCTAGGGCTTCCCAGAACAAGGCTGTCCAGTTCTGATGGCAGTGCTCCCCACCGCTGGACTCCTGACCAGCTCACACTTCCAGGTGCCGGGGATCACTGGTCCAGCAACATCTGTGATCCTTCCGGATCACAGATGTTGCCAGGGAGTCCCGGATATAGGAGGTTCAACCTGTAGCTACTTTAATGCAAATCAAAAGTTGTTTGCCATGCAAAAACTCAGGAATTAATATTTAAATACCAAAAAATGTAGATCTGCAGTTTTGAAAGTGCACATGCAGAGGCTGCTTTGGAAACTTGATTTTTTCAGTTTGAATAGACTTTGAGTCAGATTGCATAGATTAGTTTCTCTGCTTGTTGTCATCTCATAAAAGTAGAAACCAAAATATTCTGTTTGTGTTCTTGAGTTGGAATTTTAATTTAATAATATTCTGACAATTGTTGGAGGATAGGATTAATGTTCCTTTTGTGCTTTTCTGGCAACTGAGACAGCAAAGTGGGTCTTTTTAAATGGTTTCATGTTGTTTATTGATGTGTAAGTTGTTTTATAGATTAATTTTAAAAAGCTCTCAATTTTCGATAGTAATGATTCAAAACATTCATTCTTTCAGCAATACTTAGGCCATAACTGCCATTACAGAAGTCAAACTAAAAGAGCACAAGACTTTGTTGTCTGCTTTTGTCAAGTCTGTACTGAATATGACTCCGAGATGTACCAAATTTATCTTATCAAAGGCACCTGAGGCCACATTTTCACATTCTTCTGTTTCTGTGTCTGAAAGAATGATTATAAAAAACCAACACATAAGCCCAAACAAGCACTTGGGGTTTTAAGAAGCCTAGTCTGCACCTTTAAATGTTTGTTTAAACCCTTAAATTATTGTGCAAAATTATGCAAAAAATTGAGACCTGATTAAGGCCAGACTAAAAATTTGGCCCTTGACACAAAAGAGAATGATCATATTTTCCTCTATAGTATAATACAGAATGGCTGTATCTACACTGGGCCACTTATTCCGGAAAAGCAACTGCTTTTCCGGAATAACTTGCCAGCTGTCTACACTGGCTGCTTGCTTTTCCGGAAAAGCAATGACGATCTACTGTAAAATTGTCAGTGTTTTTCCGGAAAAACTATGCTGCTCCTGTTCAGGCAAAAGTCCTTTTCTGGAAAAACTGTTCCAGAAAAGGGCCAGTGTAGACAGCAGAGATTTCTTTTCCGCAAAAAAGCCCCGATCGCGAAAATGACGATCGGGGCTTTTTTCTGGAAAAGCGTGTCTACATTGGCCACGGACGCTTTTCCGGAAAAAGTGCTTGTCCGGAAAAGCATCCTGCGAATGTAGACGCGCTTTTTCCAGAAATACTTATAATGGAAAACTGTTCCGTTTTAAGCATTTCCGGAAAAGGGTGCCTGTGTAGATGTAGCCTATAGGTCTTCTGTTGAACAGTTAGGGTATGTCTACATTTGCACCCTCTTTTGAGAGAGGGATGCAAATGAAGACATTCGAAATTGCAAATGAAGCCGGGATTTAAATATCCCACAATTAATTTGCATATTTGCGTTATGACGCTATTTTGAAATAGGATTATTTTGAAATAATAGACGCTGTTAAGAAGCGGTTATTTCGAGAGAAAACCCTTCTGTTGAAATAACTAGTAAACCTCATTGTATGAGGAATAAGGGTTATTTCAAGAGAAGGATTTTCTCTCGAAATAACCGCGTCTTAACAGCGTCTGTTATTTCAAAATAGCGCCATAACGCGAATATGCAAATGAAGCACGGGATATTAAATCCTGGCTTCATTTGCAATTTCGAATGTCTTCAGTTGCATCCCTCTCTTGGAAAGAGGGTGCAAGTGTAGATATACCCTTAGAGACTAACTGTTAGATGGTGTACTGCTAAGTCTATCAAGGTATTTTTCAATGCCCCTAATTTTAGTATCTGACCATCTATTTGGTTCTCTAGGAATTATTATTATTGACTGACAGGAGTATGATTTAATAGTACAGAAATCCTCTGCTTTCTTCATTTTAAGATAACATTGGTGACTTTTTCCTTCTGGATATTTGTGAGGCAGAATCTGTCAGGCGGAACTATTCAGGATTGATCTTCATAAAGCAAAACTTAACTGATTATCTCTTCACACTCTAACTGGTTTGAAAACCTGAGGGGTGTACCATAGCAATTCATGCCATTTCTAATAGTACAGAAATCCTCTGCTTTCTTCATTTTAAGATAACATTGGTGACTTTTTCCTTCTGGATATTTGTGAGGCAGAATCTGTCAGGCGGAACTATTCAGGATTGATCTTCATAAAGCAAAACTTAACTGATTATCTCTTCACACTCTAACTGGTTTGAAAACCTGAGGGGTGTACCATAGCAATTCATGCCATTTCGTGCAGTAGTCCAACAGTTTAAGGATGGTGCAGATAGGATTACCAGATGGCTGAAACAAAAACACTGAACATTCCCCCCCC